GGGAATTCTGGAAGTTGAAGTCCACACATCTTCAAGTGGGCCGAGGCTGAGGCTGAGGAATACTGACTTAAGAGATCCCTCTGCTTGGATGGAGTCACTATAGTCTCAGAATGAGACGACAGAATACTGCAGCAAAGAACACCCTTTAGATTCAAAAATAGCCCAGTGCAATTGGTATGGATGAGACATAGCACTTCCAAAAGAGATCTGAACAAGGCTTTTGTGACCTTATCAGGAATAGAGACCTGAGTGTTGCCTATGAATTACACCCTTTTAAAGTGTATTAGCATATCTGTGCAATGGAAAGCTAACCTGTACTTTTGATTTCAGCAATACGTAACCCTCAGCACATGATTTTTCCCTTAAAGGTTTTTTAAAAAATTAAATAAGACTGGCAAGTGCAAAAAGCAATCATGACTGTGGAATCCTTTTTTTTTTTTTTGCCATTTGTCTCTTCAGAACTACTCCTCCTTCAAGAAGGAAAAGATAACAGGGCTAACAATATGAAAAACAGCTGAAATGTATAATTTTGAATGGACAGATGGCAGGATGGGAAAACTATAAGCACCCTTGCAAACTGCAAGCACACCTTGCAAATGTTCCACTCTAGCCGGTAGCTCTTTTGCATTAAACATCCTTAGTGGCAGGATGAAAGAGCTGCACAGCTAAGTATTATACGTGCAGTTTCAATCTCAGGTTCTCCAGATATTGGCATCTATATACACACACCCTTTTTCCAGTAATGAAAAAGTGGAGATCAGATCAGGATGCCCAAGACAATTTCTATTGCTGACAAAGCTAAAGAAACGTAGTAGATTCCAAATGCTGCAATATAAGCAGGTCTATACAAGACTTTAATGTGAACTGGACTCTTAAGGCCTGTAATTCTCCCTCAAGAATCAGTAGGAACCTGAGAACAGATCACTTGGTAAAGCTGTCATTTGACTGCACTAGCACATGCTCAGATTGATAGTTAGTGCATGATGAGGTATGTGAGCAGCAATCTGGCCATGTGTCAGAACAAATAACCACTGTACCATACCAGCAGAGGATTAGATATTAGAGTCACCTCAGTTTACCACACATCAGGGTTAGTTTCTGTATGAACAGAAACAAAGTAAGCTTAAGCTTGGATTTGGTGAAATCAATAGGGTATCTGTGGCTGATTGTTCCTTATTGCAAAAATATGCAAACACCAACTAGTCATTATGCATAAGCTTGTTATGCTTTAACGTTATTACAAAACAGTACTGAAATCACTAATGATAGTTATAATTTTGCAACTAACATGAGAAATACACTATCATATTAAAATAAAACAAAGTATCAATAACTTATCCTGTTATTGATTAGTCTTGGATTATCTGTTCTATCGCTTAAAATATTTAACTGAACATTTTATTAATTCAAAGAGCCTCTTTTCCAAGTCAAGTGATTGAAAATTTTGATTTAAAAATACACAGAACCAAACAAATATCCAGTCCACGTTGCATAGCTAAGACAAGTTGTGCTTTGAAACAGAATTAAAAATAATTACTTGTTCTCCCCTAGTTCAAGAATCATGGATGCATTATCTTCACCAGTGGTATACATTTCTACCAGAACTGTTTTTCACAGAAGAGGATCTCTGACCTATTAGCATTTGCTTGGAACATGCAACTTGAATAGACATAGCCAAAGGACTTACACGCCTACTTTAACATTCCAGTTCCCCAAAAGAAGAAAGAGTTACCTAAGTTGTTTGGAGGTATCCAGCCCTCAGATATGCCATGGCTCTATGCATTAAGCTTTGTTGGTTTATTATCAGTGGCAGATCTCATTAGGAAAAAGAAGGCACAGGTGTTTCAAAAGGCCCCACACTTAATATGTACAAATAAATCAAAATCTGAAGTTACTGAAAGGGACCTTCTATTTCAGGAGTGACTTCTTGTGAAGACTTCTCAGCCGACGCATTTATTGTTTCTACCGTAAGGAAGCCAGGATAGGTTTGTGCTGTGTAATGTGTTCTTGTCAGGCTGGCACTGTCAGCATGGCCACCTTGAGAGCTAAAAGTGGGGCAGGATCTAGTCCTTGCATAGTTTTGTTGAGCTCCTTTGTTACCCACCACTTCGCTTACAGTGCTGACAGAAGCATCCGCCCGCATCTGCCTTTGTTGCTTCTTTTCTTTATACTTAATGGTGTACCAGGCAAGGAAAATGAATAGGAAGCCGACGCATTTGAGACCAGCTGCCAGACCAAAGTACACAAAACGAAATGACGTCACATCATATTCCCAACATGAGCCTTGCACACCACATTCCTGTTGCCACAGCATGCAGGTAGTGTCAATGACTGCACCAAAATAAATTGGGGTAGGAATGTATGCTGTAATAAATAGGAACAGTAAAATCAATCAACTCCTATATCAAAACAGTTACTGGGGAAAATTTTGAGACAGCACATAGCAAAGCCAATTCTACACTATTAATTTCTATTTTTAATTAGTTTTGGCTAGAACATGTATCACATTACATACAAACAGAATGGGACAGAATTCTCGTAAGGTGCTTATAAACTACTTGGCTTGGAAAGGATGAAGAGAATACTTAAATTTGAACTCTTTCCAACAGTACACTTTTATTTATTTAGAGTTATACCCAGTGGAGTGCCGGAGCCAGTTCATACTGGCTCGTGAGAGCCAATTGTTAAATTTTCAGGAATGTTGTGAACTGGTTGAGAGCAGAGCTGAGTCTAGTGCGCTGATCAGCTCTTTGACGGCTTGCTGTGCAGCATGGCAGCAGCAATGGAGCTGGCAAAGCCAGTTGATATATGTTTATCAGCACACCATTGGTTTACCCCCATATAAATCTAAATAAATATTACCTCATGGAGCTCAATTTGGTTTCCAACAATAAAATCACAATTAAAATGTTAAAATGTCAAACATTAAAATAACTTTAAAGTATTAAAATATTAATAACAATATACAATTCCAAAAATATTTTAAGTCAAATTTAATAGGGTTACTCAAGTTTCAGGGAATGCCAAGGTAAACTGGTTGGTCATTTTCTACAATCCAGAATAAATGGGAGCCCTACCTCAGATTACTGGAAGTTTATTCCAGCAACAGCTATTAAATAACCTCATTACTTAATAGCTGTGTTTGAACTCATAGTGAGGATTATTGCTAGTATTCCCACCAACCTTGTGCCTGACCCTGTCCCTTTTTACTTCTACCATAGCCACACAAGATTCATTTTTAGTTAACCACAGAGTTTGGTGTATGGAATTTGTTAAAAACAAATCAGGGTTAAGGTTAACAAAAGTGCCTTGGCTTCAGAACACATAAGAATTGTAAGAATTCATGGTTAACCTAAAATGAAAGTAACCATTTTTGGGGCTCTCCCCATGATTAAACTGGAGAAATACGGGAGGAGGAACGGCAATCCAGGCTTAAACCAGACAAGCAATAGTGGTTAATTGATACCACCCACCTCAGCCACTTTAGCAGTGCAGTGTTGTGTGTGTGTGTGTTTAAAGAAAATGAGAAGCAAAATAAGAGAAGCCTCCAATAAGTTTAAGATGCCTCTTTTAATTAAGCCCCCATAAGAAATGCCATATCATCTGCAGGAAAACTTTTTTTAAAAAGTGCTATTTTTAGCTGCAACCAGGTTGCCTGCCTTGACAATGCCTCTGCCAAATCACATGACATTTCAATACAGTCAATATAACCAATTAAGGCACTAGATCTGCCTCTGCCTCTGCACTTACCAAGAGTTCTTAATAAAACAAACTGCATGCCAAGGGCAAAAGGCCTCTCACCATCTTCCACAGACCTAAAAAAGATACACATATTTTAAAGCCTTGAACTGGGAAGATGGTAGGTATGACTGCTCAACTGTTACTTGCTATAACTCCTCTCCTTATCTGCATCCCAGGAGAGGGACCCAATGCCAGCCATCAACCACGGAGGAGCAGGGCATTCAATAGAATCATACTCAGAAGTTCAGAACAACTTAATCCAGGAAGCAAACTGAGAGATTTGACTTACATTTCTAATGACAAGTAGATTCAATCAAATTGTGTCAGGCTTCATTTTCTAAGTAAATTGTCTTCCCATTCTCCCCAGCATCCTGCGACCTACCCAATAACAACTATTGACACTCACTCAGTCACAACATCCTTTGACTTCTAGGATTACATAACATGTTGACCTAAGGTTGATTCGTTTATTTATTATTGACTGATTATGTGCCATCAAGTCAGTGCTGATTTTAGAGACCACATAAATAGATTTTTGCCATGACAATCTGTCCTTAACCTGGTTCTTCAGGTCTTCCAATGGTGCACCCATCGCCACTGTAATTGAGTCCATCCACCTAGCTGCTGGCTGTCCTCTTCTTCTCTTTCCCTCCACTCTGCCCAGTAACAGAGCCTTCTCCAAAGAGTTAGGTCTTTGCACAAGGTGTCAGAAGTAGGATAATTTGAGCCTGGTCATTTGTGCCTTGTGTAAGAATTGATCTGGATTGAATGACTGATTGATGATGTACCATCAAGTTGTTTTTGACTCCTAGCGGCAACATAGATTTTCTCCATGACAATCTATCCCTAACTTGTTCTTTCAAGTCTCCTAATGGTGCACTCTTGCCACTGTAACTGAGTCCATCCCCCTTGCTGCTGGTCATCTTGCTTTGCACGATTCTGATCTTTGTAGGTACAGACTCATCAAGGCATTTAAATATCTTTTCCAAGGCCTTCATGGCTGCTGTACTGAGTGCTAGTCTACAGCGTATTTCTTGACTGCTTGTTGATTTACTTTTGATGGTTGATCCTAAAAAATTATCTACCATTCCAATATCTTCACTGTCAATTCTAAAGCTAGTTGTTGTATCTGTTGTCATTAGTTTGGTCTTTGTTATATTTAATTTTAGTCCCACTTTTTCACTGTGCTCAGTAAATGATGGTTTACTGTTTTACTTTTATTAATAGAGCTTGAAGATCCTTTGCATTTTCAGCAGAGTAGTGCCATCAGTATAGTACAGGGTATTGATGTTTCTTCCTCCAATTTTAAAACTACACACACCTTAGAATCACAGAATTATAGAACTGTAGAACTGGAAGGAACCTAAGAAGTCATCAAGTCCAACCTCTGCACTCAGCAGGCTTCATTACACCATCCCCAACAGATGACTATCCAAACTCTATTTGAAAACCTCCAGAAACTACAGGTAGTCCTCGCTTAATGACCATTCATTTAACGATGGTTCAAACTTACGACGGCCTCAGAAAAAGTGCTTTATAACCTGTACTAGCACTTACGACTGTCACAAATCATTGCACCACCCCCCGTGGTCACATGATCATGATTTGCAACCTTTTTTACAACAGTTGTTAAGCGAATCACTGTGGTTGTTGAAGCAAATCATGTGGTCATTAAGCAAATTCCAGCAAAAAATGTCCATTGGAGAAGCTGGATTTAATGACCACGTGATTCGCTTAATGACCATGGTGATTTGTTTAACAACTGTCATAAAATGGTCATAAATTTGGGTCCAGTCACATGGTGACTCACTTAACGACTGCCCTGCTTAACATTTTTTCCATCCCCATTGTGGTCATTAAGTGAGGATTACCTGTACTCCATGCAGTAACATATTCCACTGATTGACAGCTCTTACTGTCAATAAGTTCTTCCTATATCTAATCTGGATCTACATCCTTAAAGTTTCATCCCATTTGTTCTAGTCTCAACCTCTAGAGCAAGTGAGAATAAGTCCAATTGTGACAGCCCTTCATATATTTGAAGACAGCTATGTTGTCCCCTCTCAACCCTCTCTTCTGCAAACTAAACATGCCTAGGTCTTTTAACTGTTCCTTGTAGGACTTGGTTTCCATTCCTTTCACCATCTTGGTATCCCTTCTCTGGACTTGCTCCAGTTTATCAATGTCTTTTTAAAACTGAGGTGTGCAGAACTGAACACAATACTCCAAGTGAGGCCTGACCAAGGCAGACTAGAGTGGGATAATTACTTCCTGTTATCTACACTCTATGCTCCTCTTGTTGCTCCTCAAGATATTGTTGGCCTTCTTTGCAGCTGCATTATACTTTTGGGAATGTTGAGTTTCTGATCCACTTATATACCCACATCCTTCTCACATGTGTTGCTCTTGAGCCAAATTTCCTCATCCTGTATCTTTTTCCAATTCAGCTTCCCTTAATATATATACAGCATATAGGTTGAATATGCTTATTTTACTCCTTTGCCAACCTCCTGGAGACAGTCTATTTTCCATCAGTCTCTGTAATCTTCTGACTTTGTAATAACTGGAGTGCCAATACAACTTCATCTTCTAGTACTAGAGGTTCTTGAAAGTAGGGGATATCTTCTATCTTTCTTTGATCTTCATTGAATCAGGTACTATGAGTCTATTATAATGGTATGCAAACTGATATGAAGGCTGAAATGCCCCATTTTGAGTACTAAATAGCTGTTTCATCCTTACTAGAAGTGTTCTCATGCTGTTGCAACCATTATGGAAGTGTTAGAACAGGCTTCTTTTTTGCTCAGAGCACTCTGGTCAGAACAGTGTCAAAAGTCTTCTGGCAAGGTTGGAACAACTCATTCTGGGTTGAAATAATTCAAATTCAAAACATTTTGCAACGCACACTGCCTTTTCCTTTCATCTACATCAGATTTTTCCAAACTGGCACCCTTCAGATGTGTGAGCGAATTCCCACAGGCAATCCAACAAATCTGGAGGGCTCCAGGTTGGAGAAAATTAATCTGGGAATCAGCTTTCTGTCAAATTATTTTAAAATACTATAAAATACAAATAGAAAACATGGGTCACTGTTTTCAACAATCTTTCTTTTGATGAAAAAGAAAATCGGTGTATATACTGCTGACATCTTTCATTTATTCTATCCATTCATGTGTCTCAACAGAATACATTCAAGGCAGCTTAAACAGAAAAACAAGAGCAATTGTTTGGTTCTTTTCTTTTTCTTTTGTTTTTGCTACCCCAAGTCCATATATATGGACTTCGACATTCATGCAAAGTGGGTACTTTCCAACGTATTTTACAACTAAAATAACCAAAGAAAAATTCAAGTATTAGGGAAAAGTATTTAACAAAAATTTGCCAAGAGGGTATGTGCAAGGAAATTGTTTCTGAATACACACACACACACACACACACACACACACAAAGGGAAAATATGCATAAAAGTGCATTGAAATGGCACAAATTTCAAAATGAGTTTGCAACTGATTTAGAACAGGGTGAAATTAATTTAAGTCACAGAAATGGAAAGATGAGTGAAATCAAACTTTGTAAATTCACTTATCTCTGGAAGTAACCCAATTCATCAGAAAAGTAGATATGAAATATGCCTTGTTGAAAATGACAGAGAAACTCAGTTATAATAAAGATGCTATCCGAGTAGACAGAAATGATCCAGGCACTTCTCACCTGAGAGTTACTATGATTGCTGAGGGTTGGGCACATGCTGTGATAAGTGTTACTATGAAGAGAAAAATGAGGAAAGGGATGAGTGTGTTGCAGGTTCTATCACACTTTCCTGACACAGCATAGCCATTCTCATTGAGATATGTTTTGACGATCACCACTCTTAGCTGGCTACGCTGTCCAACTGTGGGTGGTGTGATAACTTGTCGACTTTGGACACAGGCACAATCTGTATAATTTCTTATCTGTAAAAGATTTAAAAAGTGTGTAAAAACATGATTATTTGCATTTTTATTAAGAACACTTATATCTGGTACATGTGTTTCATCTTATTTATGGCTCTAAGTAAGGCACAATACAGCCAGGACAGTTATAGTAGATAAGAAGTGCTCTTCTTTTGGAAAAAGAATATTTTAATGCAGAAAAAACTATAACAGTACTTCAAACATCAGAATATCTAAAATTGAATGTTTTTAAGAGAAGATTTAAGGAAGACCTCCTTAAATCTTCCCTGTAAAGATATTACAATGTTTCTTTGCAAATAGCAAGCTAAATACTTCTTAATTAATTAATTACAAAGTTTTATAAATTGTTCATTTCCTGGGGCTTGAGGAAGTTCACAAAAACAAGGAAAATGCATACATGAAAGTAAGGAGAATACAGTATCAAAATTACCTGTCTAACTGTCCTGGGTTGGCTTTAGGCTAAGGCCAAGTAGGTATGGCCAAGGGTACCAATGTTTAGGAGGCATCTTCCTTCTGAATCATTGTAAAAATGAAAATATTTGCATAGGTGGGAGGGGCGCCATTAATCAATGTGGCCTAGGGGAGCCAGCCCACACATCCTTACGCCTGAAATGCTTGGCCAAACAGTTGGGCTTTAAGTGATTATAAAAGCCAAGGAGAAACAGGGCATTTTGTATCTCCAGAAGCAAGGTTTATACTGTACAGCATGGGGCAGCTCCCAAGAAAGCCTCTGCTCCTTTTACTTCATGCATGGTAGGGATCCTCAGTAATCACAGATAAAACAGTTACAAAAACTTTGACCAGATTTTTCCAAACTCCTTCTGATGGAGGAATTGTTGGTTTTAATAAGAGTTTAACTGAAACATCTTCTGAATCTAGCAGAGAATCTGCTGAGCATCTTGGCCATAACAGCCTTAATATCATATACGCTGCTGGTACCCAGAAATGGAATTAATTAATTAATGACTTTTAATTCCATTTATGGCTTCTATGTATCTTCTTCTAATTTAGCCCACTTCAAACAAAAGCGCATACGTTTCTCTTTTATTGTCTTTGCAGCAGCTGTGCACTTTGCAAGTGATGGTTTTTGGCTTCCTGACTAGTGTTCAGCCTTTCTAGAATTAACGACTGCTAGCCCCTTACCAGGATTATCTTCTTGGAAAAAGAAACTGCTTTAGCTGCTTTTAGCTCAACAAGCACTTCCTTTTTTCTTTCACTAGAAAATGAGTAACCTAGTAAAGTGCTGGCACTTGTTAAAATTGCCATTTCATTGAACTGTGCAAAAGTAATCTCCATAAACAGTTATCATGATGTCATTTGAGGGGAAGGCAAGGAGAAACTAGGAATATTTGCAAGCCTTTCCATTATGAGGAGGGACTTTTACATGCTGAGAAGTTTCCATTAGTGCATGCTTTCTGAAACCTGCTGACATAAGAAAAACTTTGGCTACATAATCCTTAACAGGAGGCATGCCCAGGGCACATTAGGATCCTTGTGGGACTTGCAAAAGACTGATCAACAGGGGGAGCTGTGCCTGATAATCAGGCCCTACACCCACATCTTTGTCCCATACTTGCATTCAAGGAAATCCTTCTCCTTTGATTACAGTGATTATCTTCTGGTAGTCTGGGAGTGTAATCACAGTTAATGGAATCATAATGCATTTTAATAAAGTCAATTAATGTTATATGTGCCTGTGGTTTTTTGCCTCACTGACAAAATATAAGACTGATGAATGTATACAGTACTCATATTTATATCCTGAGATCTAGGTCTCAGGCCAAAAAATGGTAGGTGATGGTCTAACAGTAGGGCTCTTACACTTGCCTCTATCAGAAACAGACAAATTAAACAGCATCTACCAGCTGCAAATCACTGTTGTATAACAATTATTTTGGCTACCCCCATAGGTATGAATGGTTCATAATTTTTGATGCCTATGATTTTCTGTATGCAAAACAGGCACTTTTCTATAATGTTACTGTCCAGACTATTAACAGAACAGCTTTGTGCTCTACAATACTGAAAACAGAAGAAATTATCGTTTGTGCATAAGTTGCTTTCCTAACAGCAACATAAACCATCACTTTGATTGCTTGTGGACATACTCACTCCTGTGGTATAATTTCCACTGCTAGTGCAACCAGCAAGACAAGGGTTAAAATATGTGATTCCATCTGATCCACACACAGGTTTGTATTCATGGATTTTGCAGCCACAATTAACATTACAGCTTCCAGTCAAATTCCTATGTGCCATGGTGAGAGTAGGTCTACAAAAAAGAGGGGGCAGGTATTATAATACTTGTAAATTGCAGAAGATAAATTGATGCCAACAGGCACAAAAACCTGTAAGAATTATATTTTCCAATATCATGCACTTACAAAGATATAAATCAAGTTATAATTTTTAGACAAACAGATCCGCATATGATGTGATAAGTAGAGAAACTTCAATGTTTCTTGCACTAAGTCCCCAAACCATTTGTTCCACAGCTCCTAGAATTCCATCTTACCACACCATCATTTTTTAAGTTCCTAACATTTTAAGCCAGGAAATACATAAAAACTATAGTGTTAGCCTATATAGGCTAAGCAAGATTTTAAAAGGAAAAAAAAAAAGCACCATAATCTCTTTTTAAAAATCCTGGCTCCTTCTATATGTATGATGGGTCCTAATCGCTTGGAATCCTCAATTCACCCAAAACATTAGATTTAGCCCTGGTCACTAAGGTTTCACAGCCCTTCACTAAGTAATACATGGACATCTGTAAGCTCTAGACATAATGTCCACTGCTCTTTGGAAGATCTCTATCCTTCCTTCACATTTTATTTTTATAGAAAGTTATATGCATACTGGTGTTTGATGCAAAAGAATAATGGATCATCTTGTATCTACAACTTGATGCCTCCAGCTATCTTGAATTATAATTCCCATCATCCCCAGCTAGCACAATCCCAACACAATTGAAGAAGATCTAGTTGGGGAAGGTTGGTTCAGGCTGTTTCAGTGTGTCAAATATTTTCTAAGCCCATTGCATGTTTCAGAGTTCTTGAGATACTGTACATTTGTTTAATTAGCTGAAATAATGAACATTTCCAACCAAATGACATCAAATGTCATGAGTACTAAGAACCACAACAATAAAAACAAGCAAATAAAAAAAAAACAGAATAGAAATTTCCATATATTATTCTATGGATGTTTGAATTTTTAAAAATTATTTTACAAATTATATTCATAAGAATCCAAAATAATTTATACTGCACTAAATTTGGTATGTTACTATTATTAAGTAATATCTGGCTTATGTGTAAAGCTTTTTCTACAGACTTATATCAAGCAATATATTTTGTACTTGACAAATATCAATTAATACATTCCATTTCTTTGATTATAAAGAAGACTGGATCAAGGAAAAACTTTACACAACAAAAGGCTACATATTGCTTTTTGTTTTAACTGATCTTTGTTTTCAAACACTTGAGCTATTAGTTCTGCCACCTGTGTTTTAGTTCCATGTCCTTCCTGACTGGTTAAGGTCTCCTAGGACACAATATGTAATTGAGTTCAAGTGGGGTGAATTCATCCCTGAGTGAGGGGGTGGTGATGTGCTCCGTCCTCAAGAAACTATCCCTGGACCCAAAGGAATTGGACAATTCTTGTCCTGGGTCCTTTGGGGAAATATCGTTAAGAAGGTGGTTAGGCTGAAATTTCAGATGGCCCTGGAGGAAATGGATTACCTGAACCCCTTTCAATCAGGGTTTAGAACTGGTTGTAGTACTGAGAGAGCATTGATTGTGCTTGCTGATGATGTCTGAAGCAATTGGGATGGTGGTGGTGCATACATCCTGGCCCTCCTTGATATCTCAGCAGCTTTTGATACCATTGAACATGGTATTCTTTTAAACAGACTCAGGAGGTTGCAAGTAGAAGGCATGGTCTTGTGGTGGTTCTCTTCTTTCCATCAGGACAGTTCTAGCCAGTGTTGCGGGGGGCGTCTTAGCCCTAAACCTGTTTTGGGGAGTTTCAGAGGATTCTACTCCTATTTACCATCTACATCAGGTCACTCGGTGATGATGATACTGTTTTGCACCTCTACTCTGGGCCAACTGATGTCCTTTCAGTGTCCGGAAACTGTTAGGGCCTGGATGGGGAAAAACAGGTTCAGGCAAAACTGTTGCAAGACTGAATGGCTGTGGGTTTGGGGACCCTCTGGATTTTTGGAATTACTATCTTTTGATCTGAGTGGGATAGAACTCTCCCAGGCAGAACTAATGTACAGTTTGGGAGTCCTTCTTAGACTCTTAGTTCCTGATTGAGAAGCAGACGGCAGCCATGGCTAGGACCTTTGCAGATTCATCTTGTGCTCCAATTGCATCCATTCCTAGATCAGAGTCCCTACTCACTGTCACTCATGTGTTGATCACCTATTTGAATTAATGCAATGCATTGTACTTGGGGCTGCCCTTAAAGGCAACTCGGAAATTACAGTCTAGAACACAGCAGCACTAGTAGTAATGGGCATGTCTTGGTATGGCTCTACTGGCCTTTCACAAGGCATTGAAGATCTGATTCTTCTCCCAGGCATCAGGCCAGGCTGCTGGGTAAGCCTATCTTAGTGCTGTGGTTGTGCTTTATGAGTAACTGTGGGCACAGTGTGATGTTTTATATTATCTCTGGTTTTTTGGTGCTTATTTTAACTGATTCTTAGCCACCTATATAAATTTAAATTATGTAAAGAAAGAAAGAATTGAAGCTTTAGTAATGGCCAGTTTCTGATTATAATATAGAATATTTTGTTAACTCTGAAGTCCCACTATTTAATTGGAAGATAAAGGTTGAACAGACAACTTGGATGTATGTACTTTAAGAATGAGTCCTGTTCCTAAGGTCTGTTCTTAAGTTGAAATTGTATGTAAGCCAAAACAGTATTATTGTACAATACTGTATAGGTAGTACTGTGTAATTAACTCAAACCACTTGAATTTTGCTACATTAGGCTCCATTCTTAACTATGGGTCATCCATAAACTGGGCGTTCTTAAACCGGGGACTAACTGTAGCTTGTAACAACAGCTTTATTGATAGTGAATCTACATATAAACATTATGTAAACACTGCTGTTCTAGTTTCATAAATCTTTTTCAACAAATGGAAAGATCTAACTGGAAAGGATGTGTAACATAAAATAACTCTTAATGAATGAAACCAAGGGTTTATCTACTTTTCCAGCTTACTACTCCAACAAGGAGCAGAGACTTTTGAGAACATCAGCAGGACTCAAACAACAACAGCACTGTTCTCTGCTTCATACACATCCAGCAATTCAGAGGCATACTGTTACAGAATATGGAGGCTTCACTGAGATGCCATAGCCTATAGATTCTCTTTTTTCATTTATAATTCTATAAAGCTGTAATGCTATCACTAAATTAAAAGAAAATATACAATGTGTCTTACTCCACGGATTACTCTGCCTGGCCTTTCCTGCACAATTTCCAGCTCTATAGTAGTATTTCTGAGATAGAGCAGAAATTGGGAACCTGTGGCTCTCCAGATTTTGCTGTACTACAAATCCCATCTCTCACTGTTGTCCATTCTCCCTAGTGGTCACAGATTTTCCACCCATGAGATCTAATGACCAAAACTATGCAAAATATTGTTTAATGCTAATCCAGTAGGAAATATTTCACTACTGTTTTCATACTAAGTTGAGGTATCTAGCATCATCAGTAAAGATCTACCAGAGTATATGAGAAATTAGGATTTATTTATTTATTTTGTCATAGTATGCATTATTTTGCACTTACAACGTAAAATCTCATTTGCCATGTTGCTTCCAATTCATTCTATTTGGAGACTCCAAATATAAAATCAACATAAGCAGTATTATAAAATAGGGAACCAAGAAATAACTATCCCAAATAGTTACATACCAACTTGGTACATAAAAGGAATAAATGGTAAAAGATATTAACAAGGAGTAAATGGTAAAAGATATGGATTAACACATTTAAAAAGAAAGAAAAGAAAGGAAAAGGATTTCACTGAACTGAATGAAGATGGCCTGATCTTGTAGGATGGAGTATAACACTCCATAATACTTGCAGGAAGGTGAAAGTATAGATTTAATGAAATCTATGAATGAAAGGACTAAAATTTACTCCAAGGCATGGATTGGTGTCAAGGGTGCATATGAAAGTAGAAATTGGTGAAAGTTGCATGTTCTTCTCCAACAAATGGTAATGATAAAAGAACCAGAAATAAATTCTGGGGGGAAATGTGCAAATGCTCAGTCAATATGATCCACAGGAAAAACATTATTCTGTTAGGTGACATAAAGGATGGGTAGGACAAGATGAAGAGAGAAAAAGGTAATTCAGAGTTCCAAGAATGAATGAGAATGGCAACTGTTTTGGTATCTGTTTAGAAAAGGATTGGTTTGTTTCAAATAAATGGTTGAAGCATAACTTTATTCATACATGGACACAGCAAAAGAATGAAATCTAAAAGCATGACTGATTTGTTTATGATGAAAGACTGAAATAATAAAGGATAAAAGAGTGATAAGGAGTTCTGAAAGTGGAACAGCCATTTCTTAGTGTCAAGAGTGGATCGTGGAGGAAAACTGACATGAAAGAACAGAAAAGAAGTGAAAGAAACTAGAGTGAAAGTAGAATCGCCACAAGTCCTGTATGAAAAAGTATTAGAGGCCAGATTAGTTTGAAAACAGAAGGAACAGAAAGTGGATATAAGGAAAGAAAATATGAACGCTGCTTGGAACAGAGTGAAAAGAAAGCTCTATGGAATAAGAATCAGCCTCTTGGATTTTTTTCTCTTTTTTCCATTTGTGTAGATGTGTTTGTCTTTTTATAAATTTTAATTATGTATTTATTTGTTTCAATTTGATCTAACCAACCCAGACTCCCCCATTGCGGGGAGATGGGCGGGGATAAGTCTATGTATAAATAAAAATAAATAAATAAATAAAATAATGACATGAAAGATTGTGGAAAGGCTGCAGCTGTAGATGATGTAACTAGAGAAGTGAAAACATATGGAAAAATATGTGGTTTGCTTTTTCAATGGTTGTGTGATTAGTGAATCATGGTGAAATGTATGAAAGTGAGAAAAATTATTTTATGTTTGTTAATATAGCAAACTGTGATTAAGTAAATATGATTGAATTAATGTTTTGCGGAATATAGATTTGAAGTTGGCAACTGAATGTAATAATAGTGCTATATGAGGAAAGTAAAGCATGCATGTAAAGAAATGGAATTGAACATTGAGTGGAGAGAACAACATACTAGTAGGTAGTATGTGATCCATTGGGAGGAATGAACATTTGTCAAAAGAAGCATAAATGGCTGTGTTTCTGCTCATATTTCTCCCCACTTTGTTATATGGAAGTGAGAGTTGGGTATGTCAGAGAAACGTAATAATAAGTTGAACAGATACTTAAGAAGGGTTTGTGGTAAAAATGAAGAGAGAGGCCAAGAATGAATGAATCCTGAATGAATGTCAGCTGAAAACAAAAGTTGAATGGCCAGTATGGAAGATGTATATTGAGGCAGACTGATCATACAGAGGACTAAGGAATAAATTGCAAAGGAAATATATAATGAAAGAATGAATAGGCTGAGAGGAGGGAGAACACCAAGAACATTGTGGTTGAATGGAGTTGATGAGATCTTTATAGATAGATGAATGGCACTGGTAGAAATTAGTCTTAGCTATGTTTCCTTTTGTTTGTCTTACCTCACAGGTTTAATTTCTTTGTTTTACTATTTTTTTCTTCCTTTCCATGTTCTATATAATACTGCTTATCCCAAAAACATAATAGGTATATACTGTATGTATGAATGTGAAGAAAGGCACTAGTGAAATAAACATTTACTATATATTTCAAATAAATAAATATTGTGTTAATGTGCAATTAGTCCAGCAGCACCTTTGTGACTCAAAAATTTAGAAGCACCAATAATGAACCTAAGTTATAACATGTAGAGAATGTCCTTGAGTTTTATGATGATGATGATGGAAAACAATGCTATGGTATAGGTACAATGGTACCTCGGGATACAAACTTAATGCATTCCGTGACTCTGGGCGTATCCCGAGTTGGTCGTAACCCGACGCAAATTTCGTTAGTAGAGGCGTTCGTATCCCGAGGTACCACTGTATAGGATTTAGTGCATCAACAAATATGCAGAATATATTTTCAGCCTAAATTTTCAGGTAGCTTTCCAACTATTGCTGCAAATATGAGCAAGACACACTTCGCTTTCCTCTAAAGTGCAATCTATGTCTTAAAATGAACCATCTATTTGTAGCTACTCTTCCTGCTATAATCACATGGTAGTTTTAGGATATATACTCACTTGCTATTTATTTTAATTTAGGTTAAAGAAAAGGTTTAAATGAGGAATTCTTGGCCATGTGCGCAATGGTTAAAGTTATTTATTAATAAATATAAAACCCCAGTAGGTGAACTATAGCAACTGAGGGCAAAAACGAACCACTTTCCTAAAGAGTTTAGAGCCAAAACAAACAACCCACAGATAAAGAACTGGGAAATATACAGAATGTGGAATAAAATTTTAGAAATGGATGATTCTTATAACTACAGTTTGCATATACTGTCTTATATGTATATCAAATAGAAGATACAGTATTACCTTACTTCATTTGCCTAAGTAAACAAGTGACAGCATCAAACCAACTCTGGCTGATTTTCAGAGGCTAAGCTGGTTATTGTCCAAGCTCTTTTCTCTCTCTTGCCCTGAACAAAATTGGGCCTTGATCAGTCATCCAACTATCTAACATTCAGTTAGTTATAATGGCTAAATGAGCTCATAAATTTATCTTCTGTAAATGTATCTACTCATCCCCAATTTAAAGCTCTTTGGGCCAATAGTCATTACCATAATCTGCAGCATTAAGTACATATTATGGAAGTAAGTATTTATATTGTATGAGAACTTAACAGCTATACCAGACAGAGAGAGAGGGAGAAAGAGAGAGAGATTTTGAATCATCCAACCAAATTTCAAGATCTGCTCTAAAAATATACAGATTGGAGAGAAAATGAAATACTGAAAGCACTAAGGATCCTTCAAAACCCACACCTTTATGTTTTCCTATCTCTGAGAACCTTCCAAGATCAAGCTTTACAAACTCAAAAGCACTCAGCTGTGAAGGCTGGCAAGGGAATGGGAAGGCATCCTGATGTCAGATTTATTCTGCCAAAATTAGCTTATCTCACACTTAGAAGAGGGTAACCCAAGAAATACTATGATTTCCAAAACAATATCCCTTGAATTATAGAAATTACCCTTAGTACACTTATACCCTGATTTTCTTCCAATAAATAACTTAAAAGTGGTATATGATATGTAAGAATACTGTGTATTTTCAGATCATGTTCTTTGCATTTAGCACATAATACTCCTCAGGGGATGTTTATTTGAATACAGCAGACAAATTGTTATTTCTTGTTGGGAAGTTCAACTCATGATTACACAGTAGATTTCTTTGTTTCTTACTTATTAAGGCACTTTTAAATTATTTAATGTTCTTATGAAAACAATGTTACCTTTTATATAGTGCAAAAAGGTTGGCTTTGATGCAAAGCATAAATTATTTAGAAAGCCCAAAATATATTTACCCTGTGGTATATGGTATATTTATACCTCCTAGATTAATACTTTCACATCCAACTATGAAGAGTGTTGAAAAGCACAGCAGAGATACACCACTGCAAATCATTGCTAGTTTTGCAGATTCTCTTGCACCAAGTTTCAGTTTTTTTATAATGTAACCTCCTAAGACAATACCAACACCAGCACTTGGAACAATAATCACACCTGGTTAAAGAAAAAGAAAGGAAAAAGTTAAAACATTTATTGTGTTAAAATGTGTAGTATGGAAATATCTTTTCCATCAGTGAAATATGCCAACTTTCTACAGTATTTTTATAGTAACAATATATAACCCTACCATTGAGATCAATTGAAACTCACAAGCTAGCTTATGAAATAGATAAATGTCATTCATTTGGTTACCAAAGAGCTATCTAGTGATAAATAATAAAAAACTAAATAACCACAACTGTGGTAAGAAGCAGCTAATAAGGCAAGCATACTCTTTTTTTAAAATCACTGTACAACAAAAATGAAGAGGTTAAAAATTTGTAGCAATGTTAAAGTAGAATAGATGATTGAAATTAGAATTAAGTTTAAAAGACCAGAGAAAGTACAATGCCATTGCTTATTACTAGAAATATACTAAGGCCATTTCACATGCAACAGACTACAAAAGAGTCTCTTTAGCTTAACTTAGTTGGCAAAGGCACTCACATGATGACATATATTTATGAACTCAGAACAGGATGTATATATTTGATGTCACTATCTAAAATCTAGTTTTCATTAAACAGGAGATACAGTGAGAATCAATGTAAATTATGGTGTGTAAAGTGATGGTATACAAGATGAAGTTGCAAATAACCACGTTTATAAACTTGGCTATAAACTTAGCACTGAGGGAAGCAGAGAGGCTTTTTATAGCTTAGGTATGGGAGAAGCTGGTATACCAACCTGAGAAAGTTGATGCTTGCCTCAATTAAAGATGCCATTGACATGAGTGAACAAGGTTTGAGAAGGTTCAAGGGTACAATTTGGCCTTTCAACCATTTGGAGAATCAAGAGTTGCATCACCAGAAGGTGCAGGGCCAATTTTGTCCGGATTTTTTTTTTTTAGAAGGGGTGAGTTTTTTAGAGTATGAACGGGAGTGGGAAGTGTTTGCCTACACACCACATATAAAAAATTAGAAAAAGCTTCCTTATGATTCTCCCAGAACCAGAAGAAACTCAAAATAGAGATCTTTAAGGAAGAGTGAAATACTGCTTTGGTTTTATGTTAGCTGGGAAAGGAACAAGCTTCTAGTATTATGGAAAACACGAAATGGAAAAGAATAAAATGTAGGATTATATTGCTTTATATCCTTTACTTAGCAATATACAATTGTTGTAGCTCACAGTTAATATACCATTTCAGAGAGGATTTTATGGAACTGTGGATTTTTTTGATGCTAGGACTACTGGGTTTGGGGTTGGGGTTGTTTTTGTTTGTGGTGGGAGAGCAGGATAAAAGGAGGAATCCACAAATTTCAGGATTTTTAGAGATTGTAAATAAAAGCCAGAAAAATTAAATAATTCTGCAATAATCTTTTCTACAAAAAGGGAAAGGAATAGAAACAGAAGGCTGGTTTGGTCATATCGGGAAAAAATCTGTCCGTGTGCAGTTTATATCTTGCATCTGTTATTTCATTTTTACAAAACCTCATCACCATTTTACTGGGCTTCTCCTTTTCCTGCTGTTTTCTAGAAACATATGATCTGAAACATACCAGCTCTCCTTTGAATTTCTGCTTGTGTCATTTTTTAATAAATCATTGGATTTTTTTTTTTAAAAAACCCAAACACTTTAATTTTAGTGACAAGATTTTGAGCCCACCTTCCTCTACTCCACTTATTATATTAATTTCATACTACTCATTATGCTTGGCCAAAATATTTAGTCCAGCTTTTGGAGTGAAAAAGGGAATTTTCTGCAGGTGGAATTTTCTGCATAAAGATGGTAACAAGCTTCAAGGAGCAGAGCAAAATTTAAAAAAAAATTAGGAAAGACAGGATTTTAAGAATGAGATAACTGCGTTTTATTTTTTCCTCTCCTTAAAAACAAACAAAATATATTTTCCACCATAACAAGAGACTTTCTCCAAAAGCCTTTTGTTTTTTGTTTTTTTAAATAAAAGACAATACAAAGAAGAAACAGAATTCCTTGTACTCTCCTGTACTTGTCCTGTCAATATCCCTTTTATGGTCCTAGAAAATGACAGTAGAATATTTATCAGTTATACAAATCCTTTTTTCAGAATGGAAGGTCTATAAATCAAAAGTCCACAATTTATAAGTTTTAATAACCAGATTAAAACCAAACTGAATTTTCAGTAAGGGTTTTTAAAATCATATGAAAAATGACACATATTATCAACTATATGTATGAACTGCAAGACAAAGCTTTTTAAAAATAGCATTCGATTATGCTGTTACTTGCTCAAAAGAAAATTCCAAACTAAAGCACATGCTTAGTTACTGCATAAAGCACCTTAAAGCAAAATCAGTTTTCAGCTTTTCCTCTTGAGTTGTCAAAATTCCTCACACAGAGAACTATTTTATAAAAATACTTATCTGATGGGTTCTCACACATGTAACTGCAACCCTTGTTGTATTTAGTACAGAATAAGGGAACTTACTTCTTGGTTAATATGTATAGATTGGGTTCTAAAATCTATTTTAGTTAAGCTGCATGTCTTTGTGCATTTTAACACACACTATCTAACATGTTTCACTAACAATGTTGCTTGTGGCCACTTGATATCTGAACACATTCCAAAGCAAACCAGAAGGCTTCAAATTAATGTGATCATCTTAGAAAAATAGTGCTAAAATTCTTTTCCAACTATTTTTCTCCATAATAACTTCACAATTGAATCAGCCTACATTTATCTTCTTTTTAAAGCTTTTAAATTGTGTGTTGTTGTTTTAGAACAATTTAGATAACCCAATTTTATACTCCAACACAAAAGTAAACCTAACGATTTCCAAACTTCTGTTTATGCATCTTCAACCAATAAATGTACTGAGCCTATTTGATTAAAAAAAAAAAAACTAACAGCATTTGAAATAACCTTACTGTTACACTGAGTATCACTATTATTCAGGACTACTATTCAGGAATGACAAACTAATTTAAACCAAGAGATGACAGATGATTTTTATTCATAAAACCAACATGTCTTTAGAAAGCTTAGCTTCCAGGATACAACTCCATAATCAGGTTATTCAGGAAAGATTCATATTGGCTGGAAGAGCTAATTCACTAGTTTTTTTAATCAGAATGGACAGTTCTTTACATGATTTAAATGATCTAAGTTGGTCTAATAGAACACATGAACTTATTAAAACTATTACTGACAATTCTACTTAGAAGGAAAATAATAAGTTCTTTGGTAATAGACACACTGAATTTGTCTATTTGAGGATTATCTAGTAGCCTTGCCAATATGTCATTTGCATGAATCTATTCTAATTTACTTGTATAAATCAAATTAGCTGGCTTTTAAAAATAGTTCAACAAGTTCACATTCAATATACCTGGCAAAGAATGTAACATTGTGATATTGCCGCATTTTAACTTAACTGTTTAGTGTAATGTTATTCTGTTCCAATACCTGTACAAATTTTAAGTTTTATGATTTTATAAGCTTCTTGGCTGAAAACAGGACAAGCATAAAGCATATGATTTGCAACTACAGTACATGGTAACAGATACTGAAAGCCTCCAACTGAAGGGCTACATCCTGTTAAATAATATGGACAGTCTCAGTTGCAACTGTACCAGATATCTGATTAGCTGTTGCTGGAAATAGGTTTCTGGTCTAAGCCAGTTTTGCAACACTTTTATGTATTGCCACAATCATCCAGGACTCCTGGCAGTTACAACAATAAAATCATCCTAAAGTATATGGCACTAAAATATTCATGGTAGGGAAATAATAATACAAAGCAATAAAAATATTCTGATTATATAGAGTGATCATTCATATATGTACATTTCAATGACAAATAAAATCCATGTAGCATTTTTAGTTAATAACCTGCAAAGAGAAGAATGCTACATACTGAAAACACAGTAACTTTTAACTCTTAGGCTAAGAGCAAACATTTAAATGCTGTTATTGTCAGAACACTTTTTTCCTGCTGGTGAAAAATCTCATCCATTATATCAAGGATCAGTAGTTCTATCAGGGCTAAAGTTCATGTTGAAAGATTCACCCTAAATCTTGTAAGAATAGCAAACCTCAGATGATGTCATATAAGAATACCAAATCTTGCAAAAACTATGCCATTTTAATTTGTTAGTATTATTTTAATATTATGGGTTGATCAAGACGCTGCTTGGTGGAGAACCAAACATCCTAGTGCCAAAAGTCCTATGTTGCTGACTTGCACAATATAAATGACAAATTATTCATACATAAAGAAATAGGTGTAAGGCAGAGAATCTGCACATTTAAAAACAATTAAGAACAGAAACCTGATCATTTTCCATTAACTTTCTTTTGTCAAACAAAGAAAAATAATCCTTAAAAAACTTATTTACAGCAATATCTTACCAGTGTAGATGCTGGCATTGGAAGCTGGGATGCCAAACTGTGACTCAATGAACTTGGGAATAAAGGTAATAAAAGCAGTAACAATGGCACATTCAGCTGTGTATGACAAACTCACAAAAAGGAATGTCATGTTGCTTAAGATCCTGAAAGCTGCTCTTGGAAGTTCTATAAAAAGACAAAAAGCAATAAAAGAAGGACACCTAAATGTTGTCCATAATAAATGGGAGACAAAGAACAAGCAAGCTAACACTTAGTAATTGGTTGCCCTCTCAAGCCATGAGGAGGTTCTTACCAAGAAGTCCAATGGATACAAAAAACAATCACCCTCCCAGTGTGTTTTCCCAAGGCATTTTGTGAGAGAGCATGGGTTCTGTATGCAGAATATTCCAGGTTCAATTCTTAGCATCCCCACTGAAAAAGATCAGATAGCAGGTGGTGGCAAGTATCACTGATAAAGAGAAAAAGAAAGCTGCTACCAGGGAAGTTAGTAATTGGTCAATTCTGGACCCAGCCAAAGGCTCAAATCCTCCCCAAGCTCTAGTATATAGACAAGCCAGATGATATGGGGGCAAGACTTTGGGATGAGGATTCCCTCTGCAAAACCCTTTCCCCCGTTCCCTTCCCTTGTAATCCCTTCCTCTGTTCAAATAACAATCACATAGGTATTGGGGGGGGGAGGGAGATGAAAATGATCCTTATGTAAACTTCACCCTTTGTACGTATACTATCATATTGAAGGCTTGAACACAATCCATATTTCATCATTTTGGCATCACTGTGGGTAGAAACAGACTTGAATTGGAGGAGGACAGTTCTGGCTGTCTAGTTTTTCTCCCCCACTCCTTGCTTTCTTTACTTGGGAAATGTGACAGGAGAGGTGCCATTTCAGGGTACTGGATCTTAAAGTGGTGGTTCTCATTTCAGTCGGCTTTTCTGAGTCTTCACCTTTTCCCAACTACATTGGCTCTCACAATTCAAGCATTAAACAAAGAATATAGGTACGTACATAAGTAGGAACACTGCTGAGACTAAAACCTGAAATCAGAGAAAGAGCCTCAGATGCGTGAAATGGAAAACTCCTTGAAGAGAATGTATAAATTGGTAACTGCTTTGACATTCTTTCTTGTAGCAAAGCAAAATGTGACTTTTACTACCATGTTGAATAAATATAAAAAACTACTTTTTGCTTACATTGTTCCTGACAGAGAAATACCAAATAATGTCAATTGCACCGTTCATTATCTCCAAAATACAGCAGGAGAAATCAAAACACTACTCCAGAAGAACAAATTCAAATTATTTCTGCTTAGAAGGAACTTTGCAGTAGACCCACAATCTTAAGTTTCATCTTACTCAAAACTGAAGTCGTTGTCAATCAATTTAGCTTATTTTATATAGCTTTACCTAACAGAATAGCTGGATACATGGTATCTCAGTCTTGCAACATCTTTCATTAAGTCTTTTTAAAAAATCCACTCCAGTATTTCGATGTGTAGGTTAATAAGAACTGGAGCTTGGATAGCAAGGACATCACTTCAGAGAGATATATAACGTTTTATAATTACCTCAAATTCAAATACACATTTTGTTTGAAAAGAAACAGACTAGCCAAGCAGGCTATTAACAAGAACTATAAAATCTAAGAAATGAAACTGAAATAATATCCTTCCATCCACTTTCCAAAGTTCACAATTCCTCTGCACCAAACATGTAATACTTTATATTTTTGTGAGCTATTTTGAAAGCTAATATTGACTCTAAAACTAATTAAGATTTTTAAATATGAGGATTGGATAGCAACACTAAATGATTTTTCACATCAAATATGTAGACATAGCAAAGTTTTTTTTAATTAAAAATTTTACAGTTGTATTCCCTCCCAAAGAAAAGAAACAATATTAAAATGCAAAATATCCAAGATAAAAATCCTATTTACAGCAGGAGC